CCGATACCTCATCTCCTCCAACGTCGGCGAAGTCGTAAGGTTCGTACCACGGACGTTATTTCCTAGTCCGCCAGAAAGAGGTTACGAGATTTAATCGCGCCCGGCTTTTTACAATGTCTGCGGGTTCTTTAATATTTATAAACGTAGTTTAAATTACCCGGAGTCGCGGGATATTGTCTAATCTTAAAAAAAAACCTTTTTAAATTGTCTAGAAAAATTGCTTAATCGAAAATCTCTGGTGACGTTAATACGAGAACGAGAGAATTTTCGGGACTAATAATAATTTCTTCCGCAGCATCTTCTTGACCGCCGCTCTGGGTCTTCCCGAAGCTTTGATTCCGGTTCAACTGTTGTGGGTCAACTTGGTGACGGACGGTCTTCCCGCCACCGCTCTGGGCTTCAATCCTCCCGACTTGGACATCATGAATCGTCCTCCCAGGAAAGCCGACGAAGGTCTCATTTCCGGATGGCTCTTCTTCCGTTACATGGCCATCGGAGGTGGGTCTCTCTCGCTGGTCTTTTCGTTTTCCCTCCCCCTAGCCGGTGTACTTAAACCGTTTTGTTTCTCTGGCAGGATACGTCGGTGCCGGCACCGTGGGCGCTTCCGCCTGGTGGTACTTAGTCAGCCCCACCGGACCTCACCTCAACTACTATCAATTGTCTCATCACTTGAAGTGCCTGGGCGACCCGGAGAACTTCAAAGGCATCGACTGCAACATCTTCCACGATCCTCACCCAATGACCATGGCTCTGTCTGTGTTAGTAACCATCGAAATGTTGAACGCGTTGAACAGGTGAGAGAATGATTTATAATTTTAAATAACGCGGTGACAAATGGCATTCGGGCGTATTTCCTCACTCGACTTACGAGCCGTTGTATTATGTAAAAACTTGTTTTAACAATTGCCAATCAAATTCTCCGCAGTTTATCCGAAAATCAGTCTCTGCTGGTCATGCCTCCCTGGATCAACATCTGGTTGTTGGCATCCATGGCCTTGTCTATGACTCTTCACTTCGTCATCTTATACGTCGATATTCTTTCCGTGAGTATTTTTTAATAGATATATCGGCACGCGCGTCTGGATATGGGAGTGTGGTCCGGCTGACACCGTCGTTTTGTCACATTTCAGACCGTTTTCCAAGTGTGCCCGTTGGACATCAACGAATGGTTCGCGGTGATGAAGATATCCTTTCCGGTACTGTTACTGGACGAAGCCCTGAAATTCATCGCCCGCAAATTTATCGATGGTATTATAGAAACCGTTATCTTTTCCTCTACCGTTTTATATCTTGTGTATCGAGTAACCATTTCTCTCCCTTTATTAATTTATACACTATTTAAAGTGTAATATTGTGATTTTTTACTAGAGGGAACGTGTCTGTGTTACGTTCTCGTCGTTCCTAATATTTTTCATAAACTGACCGTTAACTTGCTGACAGGATGGACTGTAATTTTTCAGAGAATTTTCTTCCAAATTATTCCAAAGAAATCATTATTAATATATTATTATTATTATTATATGACATACAGATAAGGTATAAACCAGCCACCTGTCGGTAATTGTTTCTTCCACCAAACTGTTTATTTCCATTTGTCCCTTTCCTGTCGATAACCTTGTGGTTGGTTGGACCGTGAACTGCCCAGGACAGAGTGCATGACTGTGAAAGGGGACCGGAGGACGTCGGCAAGACCAAGGACCCAAGCTACGCATAATCTTTCTTCCTCTTCCATTGGTTACGCCGCATGTGTCACGTCTGCCTTTGCTAATTCTTTCATTTTTAATTAATATATGTATATTAAATATCTTAATTCCGTTAACTCTACGGCAAATTATCATTATTATTTGTTAATTGTGGTTACGCTTTTAACTTTGTTTTTGTGGTAAGTGGTGGCACGCATGGCTGGTCTGTGTTGTGTGTTAGTTAGTGCACGTTGCTACTCATTTGATTTCTATCGTTTTATTATTTACGAAGATACTTAAATGTGTGTGTTTTTTCTCTTTCAGTCGCTCCCGTCATGCAGAAGAAATAAATTCGAGAGACCGTACGCTCCGTTCGTGGTCACGTCGAGTAGCTTCACAGTCGTGCGTGCGTCTCCCGCGGACGGAACGCCCCGTCCGCACGACCATCCGTTTTCACCCGTTCCGTAATTTCTGTTTCGAATCATCACATTTGTAGTTTTTACCATTTTTACCTTTCGCGAACTCTTCATCGGCAGGGACGAACGGCTTCTCGCCGGACAACCGCGCTCCGACTCGGACTCGGTTATCCGGCGATCCCCGGCGGTGGTCGGCGTCCTTTTTATCAAAATATATATATAAAAATCTATATATATACACCCCCACGTTCGATGAGTACAATCTGGTCAGCGGTAATGGTCGAGGGGGGAATCAGTTCCCACCCCCGTTTCTGAGTGTTTTTTACCGAATTTTAGCTAGCGTTTGTCTCCCGTGTTTTTTTATGGATAAAAACACCGTATTGTGATATACGGGTCGAGCATTTTCGAAGGCGCGCGCTTCGACTCCCGAAAATCTAGTCTAGGTCTAGAACGTGTTAACCCCGCAGTATTTTTGTGTAAATCGGAGCGAAGGGCCGTCGAAAGTACCGAACCGAGCGTCGCCTCAAACGTGCCTCTACCGACGAATAGTCGCTAGCGACGGGCGGCGCCCATTCCGCCCGCCGACTATTCGTAGACATCGAGTGCCTAAAATTTTAGGGAACCGCCAAAGTCACGCACCGTTTCCGCCCGCCATCGAATTTTGTACGCGACATCCCCGTACGGTAGATTAAGGAATAAAAAAAAAAAACACGTAAATTTTGCCACCGTTTTATTTTTCTTCTGTTCGACGTTTCATTCCTTCGGTGACGTAGTGGTTTTAACATTCACAATACGAATGTAGATATTTTTAAATGTGATTTAAAAAAAACAGGAAACGAAACACTCGATTCTATATATATTGTTTTGTCTCCCCGTTCATAATTGTTAATTTTATTCTTTGTTGAAGTTTGTTACATCGAAATGTTGCATATCCTATCGAATATCGATAATAAAACAAAATGTTAAAACGTTTATCTGTCAGTTCTTTCCTTCCCACCTTGCCCACAAAACAAATACGCCACCGGTCCCGGCTTCGGAATTATATAAACGGCACCGGCGATTTCAAAAAATTGCCACTGTCGTCCTTAATCTCGAGGATGGAGTTAGACGGGAACAGATTAATTTCGTACGAACTTCCCACGCAAAGCGCCAGTCGCGTTACTTCGAATCAAACATTTCCCCAGGGAGTTACGGGCTAGACCAGGCACGGCCAACGTCTAACGAATTCGTGTGGCCCGCGATTAATCTTTCAATATTAGCTACTCGAGTCCGAATAGCTCGATGAAAAATTCTGACGCCTAAAAAAAAGGGTCAACGACTCACCGCGCGTTTTAGAGTTAACCCTCCATTACAAATCTCGTAAGTACAGCGTAGAATGTCGATAAAGCGTGATAATGTGAAAAATGTATCTGTAATCTCTATCTACAATTTAGTCTCTACGGGGTGACACCGCGACGAGATCTGGCGCCACCTCAAAATCTTCCCGGGACAGCCTCTGGTTCGGCCCGTGGAAAAACTTTTCTTTCCAATTCGGCCCGGGGGCGAAAACTGTCGGCCACCCCTGGGCTAGACCAATCTGTTCTTTACAATTGAAAAATAAAAAAAGACCTTGCAATGACAACAGTCTCGATTTAAAATACAGTATAAAACGGATTTGTATATAAAGGCGAAAAAATGCCATCGTATTCGTATAAACACGCTAAAATAGACTCGTATAATACGGTAAAACGTCGTCGCCGACTCGCGTCGCGACAGGATCGGTCGAATCTAGACCGATAGCGGATATTGCGCAAACCGTCGAGTTTAAAAGAGCGGCGGACCTACTAAAAACCCATTTATTATTTAACGGCCGTAAAAATTATATTTATATTAATAATGACTCCAAAGTTTAGCGAATTTTTTGCAGAAATTAATTTATCGGGAAACGCGCGCCCCCATTCGATGCGCCGCTCCGCGACGAAAGCAAGCTTAAATTAAGCAATGGCATCGTCGAACTCGGTAAGTCTAAGTAATCCTACAATTTTTTGTTTATAGCGTAGTTTATACGGATTATTCCCAAAAAATTATACGTGTTTTGGAAATGTTGAGTCGGATTAGTCTAGAATCGATTAATTTTATGGAAGAAACCTTTCGAACAGCCGTAGTCCGTAAACTGCACACGTACTGTACCTAACTGTGATTGGCTCGTGTATTTAAGCGATCGTAAAAGACGAATTCACAAAAAGGGGGTCTACCGTATTTACCGGTGTATCTACTGTGTTATAGGGGGGTCTACCAAGGACAATATACTACAAGGATAGCCAGATCCCTATTCTACAATGTTAGCCAGGAATGCCAAGTTAGTGACGTCACACGAGACCCGACCTCTCTGTTTACCTAGAGCAGGGTGTGCACGTGTTTAGTTTTCGCTTTTAATATTCGTCCAATTTTGTGATTAACGAANCTATAACATATATAATTTATCATATACAATAATACACTTTAAATTATAATTAATATTATATTTGTGAATACATTAACATAAATTCATTTCTATATAAAAGACTTGCCAAAATAAATGTAATCAAACTAATTCTACCATAACACAAAAGAATTATTATGGTGCCAGATGGAGAAGGATGCTAATCTGGGATCAAATCCTTGAGAATAGCCCATGAAAAATTCCTGCTTTTGTCTGTTCCAGATATGTCAGACTCTATGCCTCACCATTCCATTGTGGGCTTAGCTGAATCTATAATGAGTCTGATTAAAAACAGCCCTCTCAGTTACCCACAGGGCAGAAAGAGTCAAATATGAAAAAAATATGTACCATTATTCAATACAACTTATTTATGTAATATTTTTATTTATTATAGAATGTAAACTATTATTATTTATTGTATTCATATATTCTATACTTTAGGGAGCTGTTTACTATTTTAAAATTGCCGTAGCTCTTGCTGTTGCTGCCATTCCAGAAGGTTTACCTGCTGTTATCACAACTTGTTTAGCTTTGGGTGAGTTCATTTTCATGTACATGTAAGAATGTATATATGCATATGTATGTATGTGTATATATATACATTTAAGATCATAAACAGAGTTTGCAGGATTAACCCCCAATTGGAAAGAATGAAAAAATTAAATAAAATGAATACAAAGTAACGTCTATTATCTATACACTCAATTCTATTTTTATATAATAGATACCATCCCAAAAATTTAATGTAAGTAAAGATATTGTTCACATAAAACAAATGGAATATTAGTCCTAGGACTTCAAAACTGATAAAACAATAAACCAATTAATGTAATGTGTGTTTAAACAAAATATTTCAATTTAGCTAATAAGTCAAAGGAGAGACAACTGTAACTTACTTATCAGCAAAATTTAATAATGGTGTAAATAACAAATTTATCTTTTATTCAACTTTAAATAAGACACAAAAATATCTGTAGTCTTCAGATCCACTAGAATAATAAGCCCAAAACAGGTTTTAAAACCCTTTACCTCCTCTCTTAATTTATGTAATTTTTGTATTTTCACTATTCTAAGTAGAATGTAAGAAAAACTATTATTTGAAGATTTGCTATGGAATTATTTAATTCATTAAAACTTACGTAATTAGCTAAAAATGTTTAGAAAATTTTTATGTTAATTATTATTTAGTACATAAATATTATATTCATCATTACTGATATATAAATAAAGATTTGATTTGATTAAAAATACATTCAAAGTAATTTTGTTAATTTTTGTTATGAATAATAATATTTAAGTTTTTCTAATTATTACTTTTCTCAATTTCAAAATAAATTCTGGTAGATTGCTACTATATTATACACAGTTTTAAACTTTTTACTTTTGTAAAATACTCTAGAAGAAAAATTTTTAAAAATATTTGTATTGATCCAGTAGTTTCATAAACATTAAATTATAATTTCAGGAACTAGGAGAATGGCAAAAAAGAATGCTATTGTAAGATCATTGCCTTCAGTAGAAACCTTAGGTTGCACATCTGTTATTTGCTCAGATAAAACTGGTACATTGACCACAAATCAGATGTCTGTTAGCAGGGTAAGTGCATTAATATGTATATGCAGTAATGATAATAAGTTAAATATTTAAATACTGTATTCTATATTTTTATCTGCATTTTATTCCAGTTCTTCATTTTGGACAAAGTTGAAGATGGTGAAAACACATTCTTAGAGTTCGAAGCTACTGGCTCCACATATGAACCAATTGGTGAAGTGTGAGTAAAGTAGTTTTTTACATAAATTATGTAAACCTTTGGCAGATAAAAGTTTTAATTGTATCACATGATTAGTCTTGAAACATTTCTTTGGGTGCAAACAGAAAAACTGTAATATTAAGAAAACTTATTTATGAATTAATATCAATAAGTGATTTTTATTTTATTTATTTATAATTAAAGAAGTGTGCCTTAAGAAAGAGTTTCAATACAGATTAATATCATCTTTTGTTTATATTTCACACATGGAAACATTTTTTGCTTCTTAAATAAATTTATAGTTGCCAAAATTTTTAGGCCTTTCTGATGGGTATACAAAAGGTATCAGCCTATTATCACATGGGAACCAAGTTCAAATCTATTACAACTTTTTTGATTTTTTTTATGAATAATGTTGGTCATGGCATTGTCGTCTTTTATTCATTTGGACAATTTCATTGCAGATCAACAACTGTAATGAATGAAAATGTGGCTTATTATATATGATTGTTTATAATATGACAGTACTTTGCATTTGCAAATCAATCAAAAAACTGTGTGGAGAAGATGAATATTTGTTTATAATATAACTTTTTTTAATCAGAATTACAAGCAAAATTCTTTTATACTTTTAGAGTATTGTTGTGATTTTCCTGAAGCTAACAATTTCTATATATATATTCAAAAAAAAAAACTTCCAGAATATGTAACATTGTACTGTATATACCATAGAGTGATACAGCAACCAAATCCTTCATGTGACTAAAAATCATTACATCATTGCCACTTAGTCACTTATAACATTGCAACTCTAATATGTATGTGTAACATGATAAACTAATTTTCTTTCATGTACAGGTAGCCCTCCGTTTATGCCGCAGTTTTGTTCCTACAAAAGCCGTCGCAAATCGAATCGGCATAAAATGAACCCATATTGAACCCATGAACCCATACAGTGAGATATAGGGTTAGGTTCTACATAAGTGAAAAATAAGCAAATAATTTTGTTTATTAATACAACATAATACAAAATACATAAAATACATTTTAAAAATTAAATTTATATCATAAAATAAAGTGAAATGTTTTTATTAAAAAATTTAGTTACAGATCTCGTACATTTTTTGGAAAAAAGTACATTTTTCAGATTTTTTTCATTGAGAATTTCGGAATATGGTAGAATATGCTGCTCCTTTTTACATTTGCACTTCGTTCCCAATCATTGTCTAACTCAAAAAGTTCATCTGTCAAATTCTCCATAGTTGAAAGGATACGTTAACCCGACATAGAGCTACAGACAAGTGGAGACACTGATTGGTTGACCATCAGTTACTGTAGCGCATATATAAGGTCAGTTTGAGTGGGAAAATTGAAGGTGGCTAAGGAGAGATAGATATCTTCTGACTGACAAGAAGTAGATATCATCTGGCCAAAGAGAAGTAGATTTGTCTCACTAACGATAGTTTGTGATCGCCGGAAGTGCTACTGCGTCGTAAGGTGTTTTCTGAATGAACTGATACGAGATACATTGATGATATGGATTCGGATGCCATTTATTGGATTATTAAGTTTAATAACTCGACTCGTGGATACCTAAACGTTTAGTATATTAATATTAATTTAATGCAAATGTATACATACCCAATAATATTAAACAGAAAAAATAAA